TCTTTTCTTAATCTATATAAATGATCTACCCTCTTCTGTTGATTGTAAAACCATTCTGTACGCAGATGACTCTACCTTTTTATCTACTAGTAAAAACTATAAAGAACTTGAAAAATTGGCTGATGAAACATTAAATAATGCACAAAATTGGTTTCATAGTAATGGACTTTTGCTTAACAAAGAAAAATCACAAAAATTGGTATTTTCCTTAAATCATAATTCAAGAGAGTTTTTTGAGAACAGTGATAAGGGTAGTAAAGTTTTTTCAGCAAAGTTTTTGGGAATATATGTAGATAGTCAGCTAACTTGGGATTCTCATATAGACTATTTAAATACCAGACTTTCTCGTGTAATATTTTTACTAGGTCGTCTGAAAAAATGCATTCCATTAAATTATGTCCGAACAGCATATTTTTCATATTTTCAATCCATTTTCAGGTATGGGCTAATTTTTTGGGGCAATTGTGCTAGGGTAGAGGAAATTCTTGTTTGGCAAAAGAAAGCGGTTAGAGTTATCTCTAATAAAGGCTCAAGAGACCACAGCAAACCACTTTTTAGAAATCTTCAAATCCCTACTATTATTAACGTTTATATTTATGACTTAATAGTTTATATCTTGGAAAATCAACATCTTTTAAAATTTAGAAACCATACTCATGATCATAATACCAGAAATAAGAACCATACCACAATAGAATTCCATCGTTTAAGTAAAACTCTAAATAGTCACATAGTTTTATCACTTAAAGTGTACAACTTTCTTGAATCCATAATTAAATTACACAATATAAAGGATTTCAAAAGTAAATTTTATTGTTGGCTGACCAATAACCCATTTTATAGTTTGGAAGATTTTTTTAAGAATAAGATTCTTCAGTTGTAATTATTCATTTAGATTATGTATTATAATATGTCTCCCTTTGTTAAGTTAGCTATAAGTATTTTATTAATTAATTACCTGACTATGCTATAATTTTAGCTGTATCTTGACATTGTCAATGATTTGTACAAATTCAAAAGACAATAAAGCATATTTCATATTTCATTCTGGCTGTAGTCTTTAACTTGTGTTTGGAACAGAGACATTTTCCCAAGGACTAAAAATATCACAAACTGAACCTGTGTAAAGAAGGGGGATGCTGAATCATAAAACAGCTATAGGCCTATTAGTGTCATTCCTATATTAGCTAAGGTGCTCGAGACTATCATCAATAGGCAGGGGAGCGAGCTGGCGTAGTGGTTAGAGCGCGGGACTTCAGTCCCTGAGGTCCCGGGTTCGATCCCCGCCAAGTCACCAATGGATTTTATCTAAGTGATAATGCCGCAACCCCTAGGTCTAGCCTGAAGTAATGTGAAAAACAATCCCAGGCTCGTGCCTAGCGTCCTTAGGACAAAAAAAAAAAAAAAAAAAAAAAAAAAAAAAAAATCATCAATAGGCAGCTTCTTGATCATTTTGAAAACATCAATCTGCTGAATAACTGGCAACATGACTTTTGTAGGAAACTTTCAACCATCTCTGCCGTGATGCCTGCTATTGAGACTATTCACAATGCCTTTGAAACCAAAGAATCCGTACTGTTAACACTATTGGACTTATCTAAAGCATTCGACTGCGTATCCCATGAATTGCTTTTTAGGAAACTCTCATTGTACGGGTCTGGGGGGGGGGCTGTTCAGCAGATGTTTACGTCCTACTTCAGTGGCCACCAGCAGGTGGTATCAATTCAAGTTTCATGATTGCAAAAAACAATAACATATCAAAAACAATATCACAGTTGCTTACAAAACCACAAACAAACTGTCCAGTAATTTAAAAGAAAGACAAACTGACAATAGTGACAAATTAAACAACACTGGAGTGTATAAAATAACATGCAATGATTGCCCCAGTTTTTATATTGGGCAAACATCACGCTCTTTTGCAACTAGATTTAAGGAACATTTACCAAGAAAGAACTCCAAATCAGCTTTTGCCAACCATATCATTGATTCAAACCATAGTTATACAGATATACAAACAAATTTAGAAGTAATGCATACTTGTCATAAAAGTAAATACATGGACACCATCGAAGAATTTGAGATTTACCGAGCAGCTAAAGTACATCCAAACCATATTTTAAACGAACAACTCTCATTCCAGTCAAACATTATTTATAATACCGCCATTCACATTCTGGAACAAGACCAAAGAAAAGGTTCTGATAAAAAAAGGTTCTGATAAGAGAAGTGAGGACGGGGGGGGCTACCGACTACAACACACGTCAGTCATGACTTGCCTTCTACCGGCGCCGGACCCCGTGTGTAACGTCTTTAATGTATTGGCCAAGTTAAATGTTTTTTCGTACCGTTCGTGTGTATGTGTTTTTTCGGTGTGTTAAATTGACGACCTTCACGTAAGGAAAATGTTTTAACTTTTTGTGACCTTCACCTGATGATGTGCTCCACGAGCACGAAACTGCAGTAGTGACAAACTACGCAAGGACCATATTGACAGAGGTAAACTAAACCATTATTATTGGTATCAATTCAAGATGCAAAATCTGGGGTGGCTGCGATTACGAGCGGAGGCAAGTTGAGCAAGGCTCAACCCTCGGACCTAGCCTCTTCTTAATCATCTTAATCAATTACTTTAACTTAGAGAGCTATGATGCCCTATTATATGCAGACGACACTACCATTGTTAATTGTGGCATAAACATGGCCAATTTAACAAGGTTGTCAAATCTCTGCCTAGGGAAGGAGTGTTTTAGCCTAAACGGGCTGCTGTTGAATGAGGGGAAAACTCAGCAGCTGCTCTGCAGCTTGTGGACCCGCCCTGATGCCAGGTTGGATAGGCCTAGTGTGAGTGCAGTCTAACTGTTAGGTATTACCATTGATGAGAAACTTAACCTGAAACCAGCATATTGATGAAATTTGCAAAAAAAAATTTCTCGCGTTAATTGTCTTTTAAGAAAACTAAAATCCTAGGTGACGTCTGACTATCTTAAACTAGCCTACTTTGGTTTGTTTCATTGCCATAACTTACTTAAATCCATGTTTGAACAATTAATTGCATATATTAATTGATTGTATATATTAGAAACTAGCAGAGTACCTGTCCTTTGTACGGGGTTGGCATATAAGTATAAAATGCTTATTACAGGTATGGGAGAGGACACGGTTTAAGAAAATTTGGTCTTTTAATTTATAAGGTACCCTATAGTGTAGCACACATCCACCATAGCCCTAATGTTCTACCACTGCACCTAAACCATAGAAAAAAGTAAAGTTCTCATTGTCTACCACAACTTTTTGGCCCGATAGACGTTGTCCTGTCCTAATGTGGTTTTAAGTCAAATGCTCTTTCATTTTCGAGATGAGCTCGGAGCTCGTTCGCATCGCTCAATCACGTCCTGGTTGAAGTTCGTTTGCTACGCTTACTCACCTTTAGGTTGGAGCTCGTTTGCTGCGCTCACTTGCCTTCAGGTTAAATAAATTAATAAATAAATAAAAAGGCCTTTATTTACAAGCGAGTTTCATATAAATGATTTTCAAACTTACTCAAGTCAAACTAAAACTAAACTAACCTAATATATACAGAAATATAATATACAAAATAACTACAAAGAAAAAACATTTACAATTTACATTTGTTTTTCTGCATTGCGGCCCTGAATGAGCCATACGATTTGGAGCTCTTTATGTCCTGAGGGAGGCCATTATACAACTGCGGGCCAAAATAAGAAAATGACCTTCTTCCAACCTCAAGCCTCACTTTAGGAAAGTGAAGCCTGTGGTCGGAACGAGTACCACGCAGGCAGATCTCCCCCCTGTACTTAAGCCTCTCGCTGAGGTACTGAGGCTCTCCCAGCGTGAGCACTTTGTGGACCAGGCAGCAGGTCAGCCTCCTGCACATTTCATCCATTGGGATGAGCTTTGCAGCATCTCGGAAGGAGGACACGTGGTCAAAGCGGTTAAGGCCAAAAATGAACCTTATAGCAGAGTTTTGAATTCTTTGAACTCTTGCCATATCCTCCTTAGAGATGCTGTTTCCATATGCAGGAAAGCAATATGTAAAGGCTGGGAGGACCAAGGACCGCATGAGTTGCATTTTGGCATATTCTGGCAGTAGAGTTTTAAATCTGCTAAGACCTCTCAGTCTACCCACTGCACGTTGAACTGCAGATGTGACATGGTCAGAAAAAGAGAGGTCTTTGTCAAGTACAACACCAAGTGTGTTGACAGTGTCGCAAACAGACAATCTCATGCCATCAAGGGTGACTTCTATAGCAGACTTACTCAATTCCTGCATCATAATGTTTGGTCCAGTATGCATGACTACACACTTGTCAACATTCAATCCAAGGCCATTCATGACAGACCATTGAAAAATGCTGTGCAAATCAGCAAAGTTAAGCAAGGTTAAGCTCGTTCGCTACGCTAACTCGCCGCCAGGTTGAAGTTTGTTCGCTACTCACTCACCTTTTGGTTGCAAATTAGCTGTTGTCATTAATAATAAAAAAATAATAGTACTGCACCCGGTTGGTAAACCTATTAATCTTTTAATGCTATTGAACATCACAGAATCAAATTGTTTAGTTGAACCAGCTGTTACGATTCTTTAATCCATTTAAATATAAGTACTCATAAGGTTAACATGGGGTACTACAGAGCCACTGTGGCGTAGCCCGAAAGGATTTTTGAGATAAGAATATGCTTAAATATTAATCGGGAATGTGAGCTATCATCATGCCAAATTTCAGCCCAATCTGTCCAGTAGTTTATGCGTGATTGAGCAACACACAAACAAACACACAAACGCACAAACTCACAAACTTTCAGATTCATAATATTAATTATTAAGATAAGATATTATTATTATTTTATATTTTTTTACTATTAATCACAGTTATTTTAATATAAATCATTTATGCAAATTCATTTTATTTTTTAATTTATGTTACTTGTTTAAAAATTAATAACGTCAACTGTAAATAATGTATTTTTTGTTGTTTCAGATATGTGTACAATCAAATTGTCAGTATTTTGACTTTAAAACAGCTGACCAAGATATTTGAAGAGCGGCGCAACTTTGACTTGCGCCGGTTGTTGACCGGATCCGAGCGTCTGATTGATCATCTGCTGCACTTCACTGAGACAGAGCCTGTTTATCTGTTGGGGGCGGTAAGATGTCTTCCCCTCCCGCCCAACTGTCGAGAGGCTATCGGCCAAACAATCGTCTCGGTCTGCGCCAAGATCAAGGTTAGGCCTACCCTTTCTGTTTCTCAAGAGTATTTTAGTTTTATTTATCACTACACTGAATCATCAAATATTGACTGAAGAATTAGTTATTTCAATCTGTCTTGTAAATTTCTTAGTTTTTAGCGATGAAGTTACTACTGGTCTTTATCATGTTACTGGTACAGTCCAACCTTGGTATAACGAATCTGAAGGGACCGAACTAAATATACGTTATATCAAGGATTTCGTTAAAACGAGGTTTGTTATATTGAGGTTAGGTTTGCATGAATTTCGCTAAGTCGAGGTTCAGAACCAGCATCAGTCAATATAGGTCGGGATTGGACCTTATTAAAAGAAAATTTAAGTAGCATAGGCTACAATACTTTACAGTGTACAATGTTTACATTGTAAAGTAGAACGTCAATTATCCGGGGTAATAAGGGAAAGGGATCTTTAATATTGCGCAATCATGACATTTCTAGTCATTGACCTTGGTACAGGTTACAAACTGTAAGTTTAAAATCACAGCTTACTCCAACCACAGAAAAAATACTATGTTTTCTGTGCTAAAACCTAGCCAAACACTGTATTGTATAGCAATAAACCACGTAAATAACAAAACAAAACAGTAAGTTTTGTAAGCTACTGCTCGTGATAGGCCGGTAGGCTACTTACAGTACAGTACTGATTTAAATCAGAACAGAGGAATGTCAATACTGTAATAATCATAAACTGTAGCATTGATGTTGTCTTCAAAAAATTGTATTGAAAATAATAAAAATATTAGATAAGTCGTTATAAAAGTGTATAATTATAGCCAACTTAAAGATAAAAAAAAACACTTGTAGGCTAAAAGGAATGTTAAGATAACAATGTTGCTATTCTTTCTCTTTGCTTTGTTCTTCTATTCTTTTTCTTTCTTAGGTTTCTCTTCATCCAAAAATTGTACAATAATTCAAACAATTCACCATTGTACTTATCACCCAATCACAGCTTACTAAACATTACGTCGTATCAGTCCTCAGTGAATGAAATCAGTTCTCAGCTGTAACAAAGCGCGCAGCGACGACAGCAGACAGGGATGTGTAAAACTGAGCAGACGAATGTTAGCGCAATCGTTGACGTCACCTTTCCATTAAATTTGATGAAGAAACTGATTTTTCAAAAACAATAATGGGGTGGGGGGTTTGTTGTATCGAGGGAGAAACGTAGACAATTCGTTAAGTAGAGGTTAAATTCACTATGTAGAGGTTCTGACAATGATAAATTTGTTATATTGAGGTGTCTTATTTTAGCCGGGATCATGAAAAATTCGTTAAATCAAGGTCGTTGATATGGTTTGTTCGTTATGTAGAGGTAAAATATACATTGTGTCTTATGGAGAGTTCTAGGGGATTTAAAAAAATTCGTTATATCAAGGAATTTGTTATATTGAGGTTCGTTATATCAAGGTTAGACTGTACTATACCAATATTACTATACAACTATACTCTTCCCTCAAATACAGAAGAGTGAGACAGGAAATGTGTTAAAACATTAGCTCTAAGATTGTAACGTGAATTTTTGGGTTAGGATTAACTAACCTAAATTTACCTTCTATTTGCTCGGATAAATCGAGACGTCTAAAGTTCCTCTATCTTACGTACACACAATGTTGGCTTTTGACCACAGATCCAACGCACAGTCTCAGGAGATTCAAGATTCAAATATCTTCATTCATTTTTTACAAAGCGCATACAGAATGGCGTCAATAGAATGGAGATCTGGGATCATTCTTCAAATGAAAAATGTTTGCTAACTTACAATATACACAAAAACATTAGAAGTAATAATTTGCACTGTTATATATATGAAACAAGCTGCTATACCCGTGCTTTGCAACGGGAAGAAAATGTGACCTAGAGAGCTATTAAAGTGGTGCTGATATGTGTTTTAAAATGCATTAAACTCTATGTGTCAAATATATATACTGTTTTGTTCTAAGTATTCTTATATTAATTTTTAATTTTAATGCACTCTAATAATATGCAACTGATTTCACCACAATCTCCATTTAAATACCATTTCAAATAGTTAAATGTTTTCCTCAAAGAGTGCATCAGTATCTTCAAATCCCAATGGTTTCAAGACTAGCTCTCTGATTGGTCACTGATATGTATCACATGACCAACTCCTTCCTTCAGTAGAGTAGTGGCACACTCTTGGGCAAGTCCTGTTGCTATGAGGACTTAACATGCCTTTTCTCCTACATTTTCAAATACCATAAACCTCTATACCAACATAAATATTTACCGCTGGCTTATAACTTATTATAAAGACAATTGAAGTGTTTTTTAACATCATATAGTGTGAAAAAGTGAACTTATCAACATTATAGCATTTCAGGATTCATCAAAGGGGGCCCCCAGTCTACGCATCAGTTTAATAACAAAAGGTTAGTGTATCCAATTCAAAATTACTATAATACAGTCCACATTGCTTTCTAATTAACATAAATTCCCCACATTTTTGGTACTTCGAGCCGGACGGATAAACTCAGTGCGTTGGAAATATTTAAAGAATTGTTAAGATTTAATTTCATTGTGAAATACATTTTTTATTTTATCACAAACACATTTTTATAATTTGTGAACATTTATTAAATAAGCCAGTGTTGTTTTATTGATTTTTTTAAATCATAGGACATTGTAATATATTTTCAAAATCAAACATATTTAAGTTTGATGATTTTTCATATTTCATTTCCAAACATGCACAAAAGTGAAAGTCTAGTTTCATGTCCAATTTTAAATATTCATGATTATATCTCAGCCATTTCATGAGCCTTATCTCTAGCAGACATACCCCCCTTCCCCTCTCAGTATTCTGTTTGCATTCCAGGATATTCATTGTGTAGCCAGAAATAATTATCCTTCCTTTCCTTGTTCTGATTATCTACAAATGTTATTGATTCTCATCTATCACGAAAACAGCTGATTGCTTTGTACAGTAATATTGTCGATTGATCATTATTGTATTAAATGATACTTCTGGAACTTCTGGAAAGAAAATTAAAATGTAAATAATTTAGTGTGATTTTATATTGCAAATACTTTGCAAAATAAGTTATTGAAATTTCTAGTGAAGAAATAACTTTAATTTATAAATTCCAAGGTGGAGTTTATACAGACCTTTTGAGTTTTATTGTGTGTTTGACTATTCTATTCCAAAATGAGATTTTTATCTTTTGTCAAGCAAAGTCAACTTATTGAACAAAGACTTAGTAGTATTGACAAGCAAGTTACAACATTAAGTACTGTTCAAGCCCTTGAATCTTTAAATGATCAACAAATAAATAGAATAAAGTTACTTTCAACTGCAGCTTCTCAAAAACATGCAGAATTTGAAAAAATTGTTAATAAGTTGTTCTCTACAACTCCCCTACCTGAAGACATCGTAGATGAAAAGGTAACCGAACTTCAAGATAAAATATCTGACCTGTACATAAATATTAGTAGCTTATGTAGCACATTAATACCTACACCTGCAGTATCTGAGCAATTGAATCAGTCCACCGCTAGTTCAACAGCACAAGCTGTGGCTGTACCTCCGACAATAAAATTGCCTTCATTGGATTTAGGTAAATTCTCTGGTCAACCAGACCAGTGGATGTCATTTCATAGCATATTTGAAAATGCAGTTCATACTAATGACTAATGAGTCACTCAGTAACATAGAAAAATTTACATATTTGCTATCCTGTCTCTCAGATGAGCCATTGAGTTTGGTGAAATCTTTGCCTCTTAACGCTGCGAACTATGCTATAGCATGGCAATCTCTGATAGATAGATACCACAATACAAGGCTGCTAATCACTCTTCATACTAACAATATCTTAGATTTACCTCAACTTACTAGGCCTACTGTCAAACAATTGCGGAAATTTCTCTCAGTTTACAATGAAAACTACCAGGCCTTAAAAACTCTTGGTCATGATATTGCTAATGAAAGTTTGCTTTTGACAACGCATATTTTGCGTAAATTTGATTCTGCTCTCCGCACTAAGTTTGAGCACTCACGTAATGACTCAAAAAAGGTCCCTACTATCAATGAATTAATTCTTTTCTTGGAAAATAAATGTACACAAGAGGAGGCTGCGGAGTTAGCTTCTGTTTCGAACAAAACATTTTCACCAAATGAAAATAAGAGCAACCACCCAATCAAATCTAATTTTGCGAATAAGGCTAAAACTAATAGGGCTAATGTTGTATTGTTGTCGTCTAACGACAAAGATCGAATGCTTAAATGTATTTATTGCTCCGCTACTACTCACATAGTATTCAAATGTCCTAAATTTGGGGGCATTAATACTAAAGACAGGTTTGACTTCATTAAGAGTAAAGACTTATGTGTAAACTGTTTTGGTATGCACAAACCTAAAATGTGTAAATCTAAACAGACTTGTCTTACTTGCTCAAAACGACATCATACTCTCCTGCATTTTGACCAGGCTCAAACAAGATTGAATGAAGCAAACACTGATCCCTGTATAAGTAATGTTAAGTCCCCTGATCATGTCAATCAATCGAATACTCTTATGGGTTTGGCTCGTACTCAGAATAATACTGTATTGCTTGCAACCGCTTTAGTGAAAGTTTCTACTCACAAAGGAAACGGTCTCGTTTTGCGTGCTGTTTTGGATAGCGCCTCACAAACCACACTTATTTCAGAAAGTTGTGCAAATATATTAAATGTAAAACGCTCTGCTGTTGGCGTCCCTGATATCAAAGGAATTTCTATGGCTAAAATAAAGCCTAAAGGTTTCACACATCTGAATATCTCTTCCCTCAGTGGGTCGAATTTGGCCTCTTCTCATCCTGTTCTTATTCTTGATCAGATTACAAGTAACCTGCCTCGAGTTCAACTCTCACCCTTCATCAAAGCTCAACTGAAAAAATACATGCTAGCCGATCCAACCTTTGACTTGCCAGGTCCCATTGATTTATTGATAGGAGCGGATCTATTCCCTCAAACTTTACTTG